AACGGCGGCTTGTCTCTGGTGTGTGGGGAACAGCCCCAGTTTCTGAGTCCGAACTAAAAGCCCTTCTTGCAACACACAGGACTGCCTGAAAGATGTGCTGGCTTAGAAGCACAGATGTGGTGCCTCCTGTTCTCCTGCGGCCTGGCTAACCAATTTGTCGGTGATGAGGAACTGAACTGAGGATCTAGCAACATGGCAGGGAGAGGCTCCACTGCTAAGCCACGGGCCTCTCCCGGGTTTCTGAAAGACCAAGTGAACGCACATACAGCATATACACATGGTACATTTACCTTTGCAATACTCACGGCATAGTCTCAGTTATAGTTAAGTGACACCTCATATGACACAAGGTATTTCAGGACACTCGGAGCCGAGAAACCATTAAAACAAAGAACTCAAACCACAAAGTGATTGCTGTTCACTAGACTCCACCTTTCAAAGTGTATAATAAGCTGTTTTTCAACTCATCAGAAGCCAATGTCATTTCCAGAAATAAAAATTTATCTACTGCTTAAAACTGCTTTTACTGGCTGGGCAGTAGTGGCACACGCCTTTAGTCCCAGCACTCAGGAGGCAGAGGCAGGCAGATCTCTGTGAGTTCAAGGCCAGGCTGGTCTACAGGCCAGCGAGTCCAAGACAGCCAGGGCTACACAGAGAAACCCTGACTCAAAAAAACCAACCAACAAACAACAACAAAAAAACACTTTTACTTAAGATCAGATATGATGAACATAGCTTAGTAAATGCCGTCCTCAGACACCACTGGTGTGGTTCATTAGGCTGGAAGGTGGTGGGCATCTATCCTTCCTTCCCCAGACAGACCAATGTCCACGCTTCCTCAGGTTAACACATAGGCCTAGGCTTACCCAGCCCTGGACCTGGAGTCAAGGGGCAAGAGTCAGTGGTTTGGCTAATTCCTGTGCACAGAGGCTGTGCACAGGGAATGGCTGCCTCTCCGCTGCAGTTCTTCTTCAGGTAATGAGGAGCTGGCTCCAGAGACTAACTCCATCAGCCGGGAAACCCTGGGTACAGACAGACACACGGGCACACGTGCAGGCCATCCCGCCACGCAGTGTCTTTCAAGGAGAAGGCTGTCCACGGTTCGAGGTTGCCACCCCCAGGACAGCAGGAGTGTGGGGGGTAGCACCTCACTGTGTGGTCAGACGAGGAGGCACCGCCTGGGCCCAGCTGCTCCTCATGCTCGATGAATGATGGGACCACCATCATTCACCGCTCTAGGGGAGAAACCTACAGCACCTATGGGAGAGGGGTCAGGCACTCGACAATGAGGCCTTCCCTGGCTGGGCGTGCAACACCAGGCTGAGATGTGTACAAGACAATTTTCATAATTTTCTTTTTTTCTAAATTCAACGTATTGACATTATTATTGGTTTGAGTGCTGGTGTGCTTTTGTCAAAGTGACGGAACAACCTAGCACTCTTCCAGTTTCATCCTGCCTCGTCTTGGGGTTACAGCAGTCAGCTCCATTATTAATGCCTTCCTCCTCTTTTCCTTCCTCCATAGCTGTAACAGCCAGCCTCTGAGGAAATGAAGTCCATTTGCTTATCAATTAAAAGGCCTTTTAATTGCTCTACCTGGCCTTCCCGGGCCAGGCCACTGGACAAATCATACCTGCTTGTTCCCTATCAGTGCAGATAGAGCTATGGAGATCCACCCAGAAGGCCACTGGGTTTGCTGCTTGCTGCTCTGGCAAGGCGAGGGAGGACACCTACTTCTGTACAAGCCATTTTCTGATGCTCCTGGCTCCACCTTTCTTTTTATATTATTACTATTTTTCCTCTACCTACCACTGCTGCCTCTCAAGCGCTGAGACTGAAAACACGCCACATATGGTCTCTTCTAAATTATGTCTGTGTGCTCTACCCCAGGAGCCCAGAGGTAGGCTCCTATGGAGCTGGAGTTACAGGTGGTTGTGAGCCACCTGATAAGGCTGTGGGAACTGAGCTCAGGAGCTCTGAGAGAACAGCAGGCACTCTCAACCACTGAGCATCTCTCAGGCCCTTCATTTGCCTGTCTAAACAGCAAACTACGAAATCCTCCGCCCTCCAGGCCCCTCACTGGGACACACAATGGAGGAGGCAGGGCAATGCAAGGCCACCTTAAAAGCCACACCCATCACCCCCCACTCTACCCGACCCCGCCTCCAGCCTGCAGAACTAGAGGATGTCTGGCATTCTGATGAATGGAAGTGGTCACACGCACACATGCGCAGTTCCTCCTCTTAAAAACAGACCAGTGGAAGAAAATGTGTGCTTTATGCTTCTCCCACCAGGTCACCCTTCTCATAGCACACTTTAACCTACACTATGCTGAAGCAGCCTGGAGCCCAGAGCTGTGAGCTGAGAAGTCAGATGCTTCATCCATTCCCAGCCGGGACATAGTCTCAAGGCTGGATAACCAATGCCTCCCAAGCAGTGGAGGGAAATAAAGCCCTCTCTTGAGTGTTTTTGTATTCTGGGCAACCCTGAAAACCTTCCCCAGCAAGATCCAACTTCCTTCCTCTTAGCAGAGAGCAACGTCCTGTAAATTACCAGAGGGCACCAAGCCTGTCTTCAGAGCCCCACAGGCTGCCTAAGGCTGGAGGGCTGAATCATCATGGCTGCCCACACTGGGAGAGTCTCCAGTGGGTTCCCTTTAGGGTAGCGCACAGGAGATTTGGAGACCAGCCTTTCTCCTACCAGCAGTGGGCTGGGAAGGGCAGGCAGCTAACAAAAATAGTGAGCCCTAGAGGTACTCTCAGCAGTGGAGGGCATTGACTCATCCAAGCCAGTGACCACTATGCGCCCAGGGATCCTCCCGTGGACCACACCCACAATCGGCAGCCGGCCACACAGGTGGAGCTGATTCCCTAGAAGAAGCCTGAGAAGTACATGAAGGTCTGAGTGAGGTGGGAGAGGGAGCTCCAGGGGGTTTGTTGTTGATGCTTTGTTTGTTGTTTCGTTTGGGGGGTGTGATTTTTTGTTTTGTTGTGTTATGTTGTGTTTTTGTGTTTATTGTGAGAAGTTTTGTTTGTTTGAGACAGGGTTTCTCTGTGTAGTCCTGCCTTCCTAGAACTTACTCTGTGGACCAGGTTGGCCTTGAACTAGCACATGGAGATCTGCCTGCCTCTCCTCGGCCTCCCAAATGAGGGATTAAAGGTTCCCACAGGACCCCAGGAGTTCTTGTTCTTAATGAGCTCCTACAGAAACAAGTTTCACCTCAGGACCTTCCTCCAGCAAGGCCCTGGGATAGGAGGTGGGGGAGGGGCCTCTCCGAGTGGGGACGGCATTAGTTAGGCACCATTTGAGTCAGAATACCTCCAGGGGCCTGGTAGTGTGACAGAATGTGAGTCGGGCCACTAGCTGCAGTCCAAACCGAAGTCTAACTCAGCTACTGGAGGCCACTCAGCACCATATAATGGAGCAGCCCGGCAGCCGGCAGCCACACAGGTGCCCGTGGGTGTGATGCTGGAAGCTTAGTTTACAAGGTCATCCGGCCTACACCCCTGGATCTGCACGCCTGAGCCACAGAGGGTATCACGAGTAGGAGGGCTGAGAACTCTAGATTCAGGAGGCTTATTCTATTCCCGCTCTGCCTTGCTAGGACTTCTGTCTTCCCTTTCCATCCTGGGATACGCATCAGCAATGTACACCACCGTGAAAGCAGCTCAGGAATTACAGGTGCTCATGCATAGCTCTCTGAGGTCAGGTCTGGGGGAGGGGTTGGATGTGCATCCTGAGCTTTGACGACCCCGGCTTGTGACCAGTTTGCAAGTCTATCCCTAACTCCCCTTCTCCTGTGAGCCAGGACGTGAGCAGCACCTCCCCTTCAGCTGACATCCAGGAGTCCCTGGCAAGTTCTTGGGTGGAGGGAGGTCGAGCCCCGCCCTGGCTCCACCTCTAACTAGCTGTGTGTCCTTCAGGAGGTCACGATCCTCGGTAAGACTATTTCCTAGGGTGCCAGATGAGAAAGGCTCACGCGGGAAAGGTCAGCCTCTAGTCATCTCTGCCTGTGGCTTGTAGGTATTATTCCTGTCTGAATATCAGAGTCGGGTTGATGATAATATCACCTACTAATAAAAAAGTGTTTCCCCTACTCTCTCAAGCTAGTTTTGGGGAAACATCCCGTCTAAGGTAGCAGAAAAGTGAGATACATCTTTAAGACCCACCAGCAGAAAGCACTTTACACCAGGCATACATCACCCCTAGAAGCCAGCGTTCCTGTGCAAGAACACTCATGTCACACGCAACACACGCCAACCCCTCCAAGCTCTTCCAGTGACTAAAGTGTCTTATTTGAGCTCCGGGGCTGGGAATGCCTGGAAATAACATCTTTAGAGGAATAAAAAATTCCATTCAGACATGCGGTTCCAGACCTGAGGCCTATGAGCAAAGTTTCCGGTGGCCTCTGCTCTCCTCCCCACACCGGAAAGCCAGGCGGGTCAACCCGTCCTCAGATTAAGGAGCCGCTGCAACAGCTGGGGGAGCCCAGTGACAGTTTCAGGACAGCATCACGTTCTCCAAACGGGAACCCCAAATACGGGATGCCTGGCTTTGAGCCAGCACTCCCACCAGCTGCTCACTCACCTCCCCAGCGTATCTCGGTGATCACACCTTCCCCGCCCACGGCGCATGGACCTTTCCAAACAGGCCCTACAGACAGGCCCGCTGGTCCCCACCCAGCCAGGTCCCAGCCCGGCACTGCGTGGGTATCCATCTGACATCCATGGTCCTTTTCAAGGACACTGCAGTATGCAATCCAACCTTAGTAAGGGGGCCGGGGTGGGGGACAGGGGGTCCTCAGCCAGCCGCCCAGCTCCTCAAAGCATACGCATGCTCGCATGACGACAATGCCCTGGTGAATCCCAGCACAAGGCCTGTCGCCCGCACTCTGTAGTCCAACCAGATGCTGCCTGGGAGAGGCCGGGGGAGGATGCAGGCGGTGGCGAGTGGATGCGGGGAATGCAAGGCTGTGGCCAGGGTGGCGCCCGCAGGGCTCACCTTTTTGACTTGGTCATCCTTCAGCTCGGTGAAGTAATAGGCCAAGAGCTGCGCGGCGATCATGCTGGCGGTCGGGGATGCGGGGAAGCAGGTGTGGGGCCAGTGGCACCTCGGTAGCCCTGGTGAGCAGTGGTCCTCCTGTGGTGGATCGGCGACTCCTCCTCCTCCTCCCTTGGCTCCTCCCCTCAGTCTCCGGGCGGGGCATCAGCCTGCGCGCTCCAGACCTCCGAGCTCCCGTCCCGGGGAGGGTGACAGCCGCCAGCCGGCCCACTTCCTCAGTCCCCATTGGCTGCACAGCGCCTCTGCAGCTCTAGGCTGGGGCTTCCCAGCCAGAGCGGGAGAGTGACGGCCGCTCCCTCCCGCGCCGGAAAGAAGGCTGCTCCCTGCACGTCCCCCACGTAAGGAGCGCAGGGTCACGCGTGGTGGCACAGTGCCACGCCTGAGCGAGTGAGTGTGGAACATCATCTGGAGGGGACCAGAGGATAGACCCCGGGGTGTTGCCCCAGCCTGGAGAACGTGAGCGGGGCCACACCCCTTCCTCGGGGATTAGGGCTCGCCGCACCCCCACCCCCAACCCCGCCATCCCCACTGCTGGGGAAGCACACAAGTGGGCGTGGAAAGCAAGCGGAAGCTGAAGCCAGGCTGCTTCGATGATCTTGCACTGGGTCCCTGTGCCTGCCCGCCCTAGAGGATCCAGGACCTAGATGATGCACGGCTCCCTACCGTGGCCCACCAGGCCTACATCCCAAATTGGCAGGTTTTCACATTGATAAGCCCAAACCCCCAGAACCGCGCTCCCCTTTGGCTCCACGTAAAAGCTCTTGCCCTACTCCCACCGCCAGGGTCGAGTTTGGGCCATAGGCCCCAACCTGTCCTCATCCTCCCAGACATCTCTGGGTCTTGAGCATCCAGGCCCTAAGAGGTTAGGGGTACTGTTCAGGTTGGAGATTGAGGGGAAATCGTGTTTGTACCGTATGACGTGAGAACTCAGACATACCGGAGTGTGACTCTGATTTCACAGGTGAGGAACCTGAGGCTACACAGCTGCTGCTCAGGAATAGGGAGCTGGGTTTGCTTATTTTCAATGCTGATGACCTCGCAGTTTGTATGCAGCTTCTCTTACTTAAGCTGCTCTTGCAGGCCCTGTTTCCGAGGCCAGGACTGCAACATAGGGCACCCTGAGGTGTCTATGGGAGTCCAACTTCTACCCCACACACCTGGGTGCCGGGAGCCCCTGGCTAGGCCTGGCATGCATCCTTCCCCCAAGTGTGCCTTCAAGTACTCCGAGGCCCTCACAGCCACCACCCGCTGAAAAGGAGGAGCCACCCTGCCTTAGGACAGGTGAAGATGTGCTCCGGGGTCACCTCTCAGAGGCGCTTTCTTTACCCATAAGATGGAGCTGTTGCTCCTGATGGCAGCGCCCTGAGGTTTTTGTGAAACAGCATAAACACCTGTGTCTAACAGGATAAATGGGCTCAAGAGGCTTAAGTTAAAGTTTGGGGACATGTCACCTGTATGACATGCTGCAAATGTCCAAAATTATATACAATTTTCTTCCACATCTTGATTCTTTGTGATGGTCTGGAGGGAGGGTGGTCGCTAACAATTATATTTGACTTATTTTTCCTAATAGAACCTCTGCCTGCATACACACAGCCAGGCACCAAGGCTTCACATTATTTCCCGACACACATCTCTAGGTCAGACCCACTGCTGCTCCCAGCACCTCCCTGGCCCCAGACTTCCTCCTTGCTAGCCAGAAATATTACAAGAACATTTGAGCCGACTTTCTGGTTGTTGGCTACCCGCCATTCAAGCCATTCTGAGCTGCAGGCCACACTAATCCCACTTAAAAGCAACCTAATTATGTCACGCCCCTACCCACAGTCCCTTCCGGGCCATCTTCCAACCTGATGGAGCCAGTTTAAATGTGTTTGGCCCCTGGTAGCTGACCCTGCTCTGTCAATGTATCTCCCCTCGCGCCTGGCCAACGCAGGGCTTCTTCCCACTGGCCTCACCCCGACAAGTCCGTTCTATTGTGTCCCTTCTCATAGCACCTTGCTCACCCAGTCTTCCCTGCTCACCTGCACCTGTCCAAGTTCCAGCTTCACCAAAGGAAGGCACAACCGGCCTTCCTTCCCTAACCCACCTCCCCTGACATCAGCTACTCACCCTGGCCTCCCAGGCCCCAGCACCTCCAGAGGGCACACTCGGACAGTGCTCACAGTCCATGCAAATGGAGACCAGGGCTCTTCTCTACACACAAGGACCCCGATGCACAACTGGTGGGCCATCTTGCCCAGTGGCAGGTTGCAGTAGAATTTGGAGCCAGGACTCAAACCCAGTTCTGATGGCCAGCCAGGACTCTGTCCATCCTACCCCTACTGCCAAAGGGAACCTGGGCTCCAGATAAGCCACGCTGGGCTGGGACTGCCTCCCTGATATGACTGACTGTCTCCTGGGGGCCTGGACTTATCTGCTGCCATCAGGCAGTTTCCCCGAAGCCAGCACCAGGGCAGCGCTTCATCTCCTCTCAGTTGAACCACAGATCACCTCATGCGTGTTTCTTGTTGGATTTTTTGTTGTTGTTGTTAGTTTGTTTTTGAGACAGGATCTCACTGTGTAGCCCCAGCTGTCCTGGAACTGTTTGCTTGTTTATTTGTTTGTTTGTTGTTTCAAGACAGGGTTTCTCTGTGTAGTCCTGGATGTCCTAGACTCACGTGTAAACCAGGCTGGCCTCAGACTCACAGAGATCTGCCTGTCTTTGCCTTCTGAGTGCTGGAATTAAAGGCCACCATACCTGGCTCCTGGAACTCTTTATGTAGGCCAAGCTGGCCTTAAATTCAAGAGAAATCTGCCTACCTCTGTCTCCCAAGTGCAAGGATGAAATGTATGCACCACTGTGCCTGGCTTTATTCTTTTTCTTTTTTTTTTTTTAGATTATTTTGTATATAAATCTTTTGCTTACATATATGTAGTATACCATGTATGTGCCTGGTGCTTAAGGAGGTCAGATCCCCTGGAACTGGAGTTATAGATGTTTGTAAGCCACCGTGTGGGTGCTGGGAATGGAACCCAAGTCCTCTGTAAGAGTAGCCAGTGCCTTTACCTCTGAGTCATCTTTCCCAGCCCTCATGCATGCATGCTGCTGCTGCTTCCTCCTTCTCCTCCTCCTCTTCCTCCTTTTTTCTTTTTTCTTTTTTAAAGGATTTATTTATTTATTACATATACAGTGCCTGCAACCCAGAAAAGGGCATCAGATCTCATTATAGATGGTTGTGAGCCACCATGTGGTTGCTGGGAATTGAACTCAGGACCTCAGAAAGCGTAGACAGTGCTCCTAACCTCTGAGCCATCTCTCCAGCCCCTCTTCCTCCTTTTTTCAAAACAGGCTTTCTCTGTATAGTCCTAGGTGTCCTGAAACTCACTCTGTAGACCAGGCTGGCCTACAGAACTCAGAGGTCCTCCTGCCTTTGCCTCCCTGGTGCTGGGATTAAAGGCATGAGCCATCACTGCTCATGCGCCCACCCCCAATGCATGGTTCTTAATTCTCTTTTTATTACTATGTGTCCTTTTCCCCTTTACTATCCTACCCCCAAATTCTTTTCTTTTTGATAATGTCTTATGTAGCCCAAGCTGGCCCAAGCTCTCTTGTGTAGCTAAGGATGACCTTCAAATCTTGATCTCTGGTCTCTACCTCTTGAGTGCTGTGATCACAGGTACACACCGCCACACATAACACATACTTGGGATTAAGCCCAGGGCTCTGTGCTTACTGGGCGATGGCAAGCACTGTACCAGTGGAGTTTCACCCCCGGCCCCGCTACCTAGGTCTTAACCCCAGTTTAGCAGCCGTGATTACTCCTGGAACCCACAGGAGGAACTCAAGCCAGAGACTCTCAAGCCTCCTCTTCTCCTGAGCAAGCTTCATCTTTCCCTCAGGTCCCCTGAACTGTCAGTTCATTCACTGTGGCTCTCCTGGTTCAAGTCGTGGGCAGGACCAAATGTTGCCGGCTGGTGTCCCGCCTAACACACCTGCCCAGAGGACAATCCAGGCTGGATGCTAATACGTCTATTCATTCCCATCCAGCCCACAGTACTGGGTGTTGCTCCACAGTGTGCCCGGACAGACAGGTCGAACCCCTGGCATCTGGGCGCACTCCTGCCAATAATCGTGTTTACATAATGTCATTGGTTTACAGAGCAGTTTCTCATGTAGTGCCTCATTTCTCCCGATAACAGCCTGCAGAGGTGATGAGGACAAATATCATTATGCCCACTTAATCAGTCAATGAGGTGTGTGAGAGACAGCTGGAGAGCTGAAGGTCTCCCAGAGAGGAGGAGAAAAGGAGACGCCGCCCAGCACCAGAGTGTCCCTGAGTTACGTAGGTGGTTTGCCCAGTGAGAACTGCTCATCCAAACCCCGGATTTCCATGGGGACAAACGGACATGATGACTTCTGTAATGAAGCCCCAAGTAGTGCTTTTTTAGTAGCCTACCACCTACTACCACCTACAGCCTGTAGGGACTTTCTGATGCAGAGTACCGAAGGGTGAAAGTTCCCTGGGACCTCTAATTAGCTTTGCTCCAAAAGCTGCCCGCACCTCAAGGCACCACCTGTAGTGGCTGGACTGGTAAAATTACATTCTCAGCGCTAAGCTAAAACAATACCCTAAATGTCTTGTTTAGCCCAGTGTTTTCCAAATACCAGCCAGCAATTATTAGACTTCGCGGTAAAACCTCTCATTTCTGGCATCCAGGGTCTAGCCACACAAGTTGATAATTATATAGCAAGGGGTGGGCTAGACATGAGAATAGCCACTACCCTGTTCAGCCCAAGGAAGGCACCTGGAGCCAGCCCAAGCCCCTACAACCCACCTGCTCCACTGACTGACACCCGTACAGCTCTGCCTGCATCCTAAAGGGAGCTTTTCATAAGGAATGGGCCTTGGGGAATTAGGGCCAGGGTTGGGAGGAAGCAAGAAGGAAATGGCATGAGAGAATGTTGTACCTGCTCACCTCTATAGTGTTCCCCCAAACACCTGCACCTCAGTATCATAGTGGTTCCTCCTACCTGCCGGCTTGGCTCTACCCTAACTGGTTCCACAGCCTCCGTCTCAAAGAGGCTGAGGGAGGCCTGGAGGAGTGAGGGTTAAAATGAAAGCCTGAGGCACATCTTTTAAATACCTGT